GGCGCGGGTAGAGCTCGGCGCGTTCGGGAATTAAAGAACGTCTCCGCGTGCGTGCCTTCAGAGAGTCAGGCACAAGGTTCGTTTATGCACGTTTGAATCGCCTGTACTCGAATGAAAGAGAGAGCTCGGTACCCGGAAGGGGATGGTTCGGGGTAAAAAGCTCTCGAACGAGGCGACGTCGCGCTCGCGTTTCTCGCCGAATAAAGCTCGCCGGCGAGCACGTCGGGAACAGGGGCAGCCTTTGAAATATTCCGAGTGCGCCGCAGCTTATTTATTTCCGCGTTTTCTCGAGACGTCACCGCTCGCTCGCGTCGCGTCGCGTCGACCAGGGCCAACCAGCACCCACTCCTTGCCCGCCTCTTTTTCCCTCTTTGCCCTCGTCGACGCTTTCCGCGAGCAGACTTACCGAGACTGGAATTTTAATTAAGCTTTTTTGCCACCCGCTGAATCCCTGTTCCGGCATAGGGAACGCAACGTGTCCCATGGCCGCGGGAACAGATGCACGCTCGCGATCTAACGGGTGTCCTTGGGGCGGATTGGCGAGACGGCGGCGCCAAGATTCTTCGAGGGGGTGTACCCCGCGGACGGAATACAAATTGCTCGTCGCCAGCGAGGTTTTAATCCCACGGACTATTGCCCCGACTAATCGACCCGTCCTCTCATCCTGCGTACGTCCAGGGATTCTTTCCGATGGAAACTGGGCCGAGTTTCTGCCGTCAGGAAATTGAATGAGATTCAACGTCGTCGATGGAGTCACGGTTCCAAAGAATTTGCTTCTCTGAAAATTGTGTATCTTCTCAAAAGTTTCGTACAAAAGTACACAGATTGAACGTAAGATCCATTTCTCGCGAGAGATTAAAAAATTCGTTTCTCACGGTGTGTACATCGATGTTCAGTTGTTCCGTGGTGGCGATTCCGTGACCTACACTACCCGTTGGCATTGATCCCGGGAGGGGGATGCTAAGTAATAGCAGCGTAACATCAGCACGTCATCATCAACGCCGAGTGTGTACAACACACGACTCGCCACTTTGCTGCCCGTCTCGCACACCAATCTACAACCCTCTCTCCTTTCCTTTTTTCTTTTCGCTTGATTATACATGTACGCGGCCGTATTTTGTTTCGCGGTCTTTCTTGTATACTGCGGGTGTTCCAAGCGGATTCGAGAAATCTTTTGAGAATCCGAGACTGTAGTCTTGTAAAATATCTTTAGATTTTCTTTGAAATTGTCGGGAAACGCGTCGAAATAGCTAGAACAGCGCCGTTTCTAAAGATTCGAGTATCACTCTGGCAAGCTTAAAGCGTGGAAAAACGGCAGCTGGCAGAAGATAACGCTTTATAGTTCGCTTAGAATTTTTCCTTCCTTCGGATCGCGCCAAATTGCCGGTGCTGAGTCACGTAACGAGTTCACAAAGTGGAAGTTTTTAATGTGTGCAGTAAAATTGCCCCTGTTGCGAATGCGGTTCACATTCGCGAATAGGAACTCCGCGAAAGAACTAAACCGATGAAATCGATTACGCGGCAATTTGCCTCTCGTACAATTTTTGAATATCAAAAGAGAAACCACTGTGTACACATATATCAAGAAAGTATCAATTACACGTCCGGACAATTTAATTATCCCCACGTATAAATCCAATCCCGATAGATAACCCAATGAACATGTTACATCCGGGAGACAGGTAAATTTATTCGTCTTCCAATACCGTAATCCGGAAGTACGCTGTTGCCCGGCAGCCAACACGTATTCGAGATTTCGCGTGCGCAGAAAATCCATCACCGTGTAGAGTTAAAATTACAATTTCATTCGATATCCCGTCGGATAGGAGGGATCGGCGAGGAGCGTGGCTGGGCGAAACGCAATCGGGTAAATCCGATCGAATGTAACACGATTCCGGTACGCGATAAGTACTTTATAATCACCCTGTGTGCTCGACGGTACGGGGTTGGGCGCATTCCTCCAGCCTTCGGGTGGAGAGGATGAAACGCGAGGGAGGTTAAGATGATAGACGAGCCGATACGTTCCCACGCGGACCCGCGAAGAAGTCTGAAAGCTGTTCGTTCTCTCTCGCCACGGTTTTCTTCTTCTCTGTTTGGCACGGTGTAGTGGGCGGTTATAACCCCCGAGGGCCCGACCGGGCCCCTAATCACAGGCTCGCCCTCGCGGAACGTATGCGTTTCTTAAACGTGGTTCGGCTAAAAGCCGAGAGTAACGCGAACGTTCTTAAATACACGCTGTTTAACTCTCGCCCTCTGAAACATGCGTACGCTTTGTTCCCTTTGTAGACGTAAAGAGAATATCTTTCTCATTTCTCTCGGCCTCGCTATCTTAATCCTCCTCCACGCTCGTTTCATTCGCTGCGCGGTTTTGTCCAGTTATTCATACTCTTCCTGCCATTTTCCATGTGTTCACTTTACGTTCCTCTTCATTTTCATTGTTCCCAAACGAGAGATCGCGTAGATACTTCTGTTCCCTATTGAAAGATCTACCCTTGCCGAAAATGCTCTCTCGTTCTATTTTAATTTCCTCTCTTCGTATGCTCGTTTCCAACTCGCGCTTCATTTTCCTCCTTGCTCGTATCTCCCACGATTCGCAAACAGACGGGGCGCAGGATGCACGTGTTCGCGTTGCATATTATATGCCCGACACACGCACGCGATGAACACAGCCGAACGGCTTACACGGTCGGCGAAATAAAATTATCGCGACCCCGCTTTACGTTCTAAGGTAAATCTCCCCACGGAACGGAGCGGAGAGTTTAAACCAACTTTCGCGTGGCCGGCGTTGCTTTCGTTACATTGCTCTTTACTGCCGTGCCGCTATCGATTTACGAGGATCGAGGCCGGACTTCGTGCTCTCGTGTCCGTAATTTGGAAATTAGAAGCAGATTCTCCATTCTCTACTTGGGATCTTCTGACTAATATTTTGATATCTCATATTCAATTTCTAAGTGCTTAATATCTACCAAGGAGTCTAATAAACATTTCAAATTAGTAACCAAATTATACATTATGTAGTAAATCATGTAGTCATAACATATAATAAGTTATATAACAAATCGTACAATAAATCGTGGATAGTTCCAATGGAAGAATAGAGAATATTTATTTCTGATTGTTTATTCATACCTCACAAATTTTCATCTGTTCATACATACCCCCTTCGTACATCCGATTTTACAATATTATTCGTGAACGGCTTGTTTGCGTACGAGGGTGTATTTGCATGAGGCAGGGGAAATATGGATCACGAGGATAGTTGTTAGTGGATGTTGCCGCGAGGCTCACGAAGTAAAGGACGAAATTTATCGTGCACTAATGCGCTTTAAACTCATTGGACGTAAATTTATCAGACGGATAGGAGGGTTCGCGAGGTTCCCGCGCTGTCGCCGCGGGCTCCACCGTTTCGACGCCGAGGAAGAAAGGAGACCACGAGAGCCAAGAAAAGCATAACGACTCCGCTATGATGGACGATTAGTCGTGTGCCGCGAGCATTAGCAGCCACTATTCAAAGAATAATTGCGTCATAATTCATTATGGAGTTTTATGCGTATATGTCTCGCTCTTCCTTTTCACTGAAAATCCTTTCAAACTAGAAACATCTAGTTATATATTGGCAAACGTCTTACTGTCAGTAGAACAAAACAGTTTTTAAAAAATCACTGGTGAAGTTATTTTCTTTTAAGACTATTCAATTTTATAAAATAAAATCTTAGATCAGACGTAGATGGATATTTTTTAAATAGGAATTTCTTAAACGATCTACCACCGTTTCTTTAGTTAGATTTCTTGCTCGATAGGTAAACGAAGGCACAGGCAGTCGATTCCGATCTCGATCTCGACGTGCGTGCATTGAACCACCGATGGGTCCACGAATATTGTAATTCACGTTGGGTGGCACGTGTCGAGTCACCGTTTCTTCCCTCTCGTTCATCGTGATCTTTATGCGTGGCGATTTAAAGCGGCCTCCACACATTTAACGTGTCACGCATCCCATGGGACCTTCTGATGAATGTTTCCGCGCGATAACGAGCCGAGTTAACGGTACCGCCTTTGCGGGACGATTGAGCAATCGCGTTTCGAGTAAATCCGATGGTACCTGCGTTCGTGGAAAGATACCCTTGCGCGCAATTCTTTAAATAAGAGGAGAACGACAATAATGTTTATAACTGCGGGATTAAAGGAGGATTAACCGTGTTCGCGTGTCGAACGATCGTCAACGCTACTGGACGCCGTGTCGCAACCAAATCGCCGGTGTGTTTTCGTTAATTAATGGCGCACGGCCTCTTATGGACGTTCCCTCTCTATCATGGAGTAAATTAATCTTTCTTGGAAAGCACAGAACAAGTTTCGTCGACTTGTTCTTGCCGTTACCGATGGAACGTCTGGCTATCGAAAATCGGATCAAATTACCCAGAGAGAAATTGAATATGAAACATTTTTAATTCAGCAACTTTATTTAAGCGTAAAAAAAATGAAGCGGATTTCGGTAAACGCGTTTGCTTGTCGCGAGTTGAATGGATACGCGCGCTGTAATTGTGGTAGTGGGACCGTTAATATGTTTATTGTTGCCGAAACCTCTAAAATGGAAATGGTCGCGCTATTAAATCGTACCGCTGTCTCCCATAATCCCATGAATATCCGCAGTAACTCTCGGCGCGCCGTTGTTTTATTCGTGCTTCATAATCAGGAAATGTATCAATTTTCCATTCAAAACGATCCGATTTATTACATATTCCTAGCGTGGCTTTTTATTATCAAAGAAATATTTCCAATTCGTCGTGCGGTTTTCAGTTCCAGCACAATGGTTTATTTTTTATCAAAAATGTTTTAATTATATAATATTGTATTTTCTACGTTAGAATTGTATTAGTCATCTGTTAATATTAATTTCAATTTATCTTTCTTCTCTCATCTTTTAATTAACGGTTTTTTTGTTGAATGACTAATTAAGCAATGCAACGTTGACTCGTTCACGCGAAACGTGATCTATTTTGCAGGTTATTGGGAGAACCAGAAAGAACAATGGTACGGAAGTGTGTCAGGCGTAAGCGATACCCCTGTACCTTGAAGGCATCGTTGTTGGAAAGTCGCCTCTGGACGGAATCAAGAGCGAAGGCATCGATCGAAGGGCGAAGCCGAGGTCGAGGCTTGAACAGTCGTCGAATCGGGTGAAAGCTCGATCCGGATCGATGTACGGACGATCGATTTCACGGAACGTATTCGAATTCGAACCACGTAGCCGCGAGACGAATAGCTCCTGAAGGAGGCAACCTTTGAGACTCGGCTATCAACCTGGATTCTCTCACAGAAACCGATCCTCCTCCGGGGTTCGATTCAATTAGCGACCATGGGACTCGGAGGTGTTCGAAGAGGAAGAAGAAACTCGAGTCGACCGTGACGATGATCGCGCTTCGGGCAACCGACGACGACGACGACGACCTCCACGACGGAATCCTATTAATCGCGATGAAATCTCATTAGAAACTTTTTCTCAAGGTCGTCCGCATCGCGGGAAATTAACTGTTCGCCAGCGAAGAGTGAGAAGCGGAAGAGACTCGTTTTTCTGGCCGATTAGAAACGCTTTTCTGAGGCAAAGGGCCCGGTTAATATGTGCTTTGGACGAGTGCCGCAAGTTGGAAGTTGCCAGATCGGCGAGAACCGTCAAAAGGTAGAGGGAAGCAGGTGGCGGCTCTATCCCGAAGGAATGGGAATGCTTCTGCCCGACGAGACGTACGAGGAGCGTTCTTCGTCTTCGAGACGAAGCTCGTGCCCGAACGTACTCGTGGACATCGACGAGGTCGAGGCGGCGAAGGCCTTGGCTGCGTTCAGAAAGTGCGACGAGTTCCTCAAGAGGCATGGGATCAGGCCGGAGTTCTTCTGCAGGCACAGGGAACGGCTGGCGTTGCAGACCTGGCTGCTGCAGAGGTCCAAACTGTCTTCCGGTGAGTCTGAGTTCGTAAATGTTTGATCGCTTTGAAGGGAAGTCTTTGAACGAATCGTGTATTCGGCTTCATAGAAGATTAGATCTACTATGAACGTCGATTGGTACCGCGAACGTCGATAAATCGTGTTCCGCAGCGTTGATCGAACACAGTGCCACTTTATGGCAGTTTATGGGACAGGCGTCACTATGCACCTGGCCGGTGTAGAGACCTCGCGTCGACGGTAATAGATTTACGTATGAGGAACGAACAATCGGATGACAATTTACGGGGAACCGTTTCAACCCGTTCTGCATGCATCGAAAATAGGGTCCGATCTCGGTTAAATCGCCGTTTCTCGTTACTTTCACCGGCGCGGTGGTTACATTGTCGCTGTTGTTTTTTTGGGCAATGAAACGCATCGTTCGGGTAATTGGATATCCCTTCCCAAAAAACGCGCTTTCGCCCCGCAAAGTGAATTTCACATTTACTGTATCTATAATTTCTCTATTCTTTTCGTACTATTAATTATAAACTAGCTGTTGGGAGTTTCTGAAAATGTCTGAAAATGGGAATGAATTATCTCCCGCGATACTTTATCTCATCCTATTGAAACATGATAAACCACAAGTCAATAGAACCTTGAATTTTTAGCGAGATAGAAACGGGGTAACGATCGAACGATAGGGGTCTTGATAAAGGAGGAAGGGAGGGTGTGGGAGGGCGCGTGGTGCCTCTCTTTGATGTTAATTTCGATTTCGCCGGTCGACGGCGATAATTTCGTTAGCTGGACGTACTTAACGATCGCGGGCCCGTGAAACGCGGGGAATTTCGCAGTCCGCGAGACTGCCGGAGGGGCATTAATTTTTGTTTTTAACGAGCTTTACGTATTTATGCAGCGGCGCGCATTAACGCAGTTGATTTAATGTTCCGCATTAATCGAGCCGCGTTCAAGCTCGTGTAAATTATGAATGGAAAAGTTAATTTGCCACCCCTACTCGTGTCGTCAGCTCGGGCGCTTCTCCATTGATTAGGTTTAACGGCAACACCGAACTTGCGTCTCCATTTACATACGATTATGAATTTAAATTCCTTATTTAATATTTTTTCGAAAGCCGAGATAATTAACGTTATGATAGTTATGGCATAATCACGCTTGTGTGTAATAGCTATTTAATTGTGTGTAATTGGTAAAAAGAAAAAAATAATTCGTAGTGCTAAGCTTTATCGGATGCCGTTCTCTTCTAGCGTTTATGGAAATAAGGTTTGCCCCTCAACAAGAATGTAATTACACCGTGAAGAACGCCGCCACGGTTTCCACGGTTTCATGTTTTTACGGGTAATAGAATTTAACCGGAAAAAGGGGGATTACAGTCGAACGCGAGGAACGTAGCACCCATTTCCGACTGCCTCAAAGGGCGCGCGCCCCGTGCCTTGTTTCGCGCAACGCGACCTTTGAGAACTTTTACACGGCAATAAATATTTGGGTTGCAGCGTCAAGAGGGAGCTTTCCGGTGTAATCCCGTGGAAAGCCTTCTCGCGACTTGGAATTGAAATTAAGTCGCGCACCAGAACCATTCCCTTCTTGGAATTTTCACAAAGATTTTCCTATTTCGTTCTTCCTTATTCGTTTAAGTAAAAGCTCCTATGTATGCTCCTTTTCAGCTTTCTCACAGTCTTAATTCGATTTAATAAGAGTGAAAGATCAGTGAAGTACTTAAATGTAGAATTATGTTGAACAACTCTTGAAAAATGGACTCAATGGGCAAACTAATTCCTCTGATGTCAAAATGCTAATCACATTCGTCATCGTAAATGGACTACGTTCGTTTCCAAGATACGTTATAGAATTTAACGCATCGAGCCATTACATCCTGTATTTTGGAGCAGAACTGGCGGTTTAAGAGGCGCTCTTGCATTATCATCGCTCTGCGAGTTGAGAGCTAGTTGGACCCAGTAGAATTGACGGTAATCTTGTCTGACGCGTAAAACGAATACTGCGGGATGAACGTGCAAAGTTCTCTGTCGGTTCTGGTATCGTTACAATTGGCTCTTTTTGCTCCGCTATCATTACACTTAATAGATCACGAAACTTCCCCGAGCATAAACGTGAACATGATGTAATGCCAATTGATGTCAAATGTAATTTTATAATAGATAGTAAAATATACATTAAGTTCCAGTTAACTTTTTGCATTCCGTCGAGTGTGACATCAATTTTGTTCATATAAATGATTGACATCTGCAGTTTATATCCGCCATATTTCGTAATACTATTTCTAGTGGACTGCCTTTTTGATTTCAACAACAGGAAGTTATCGGAGATAGAATGAAAAGACAAATTCGGTTAACATCGCTTCTCGACGTAATTCTAAAGCACTCCAGATAAAGGAGATTCTTCGTTCTGATTCGAAGTCTCATTATCGCTGGCCCGAAGTTTGCTGCTTTAAAGATAAGCCAGTGCGTAGATCACGGAGATAAGTTTCTTTTCCTTTAATCACGGTTAGGCAAAGTTTTCTTTTCAGTCGGTCGGTCGAAAACAGAAAGTCCCGGACGCTGTTAACCGCGCGGAGAGCAACTAGCGCGCGTTCCTCTCAAGAAGCAGCAACTTCTAAAAAGTTTCTTAACTATCAAATCATCGGTTATCACGGTTTGCCCATCTTGCCGCGTGTATTCGAATCCCGTTTCGCCCTTGGGCCCTCCACGTTCTCCCTCGGAATCTTTAATTAAATATCCCCTCGAGTAGTCGCGTCGGTGGGTATCCGCGCGGAAAATCAGCGGGTTCGTTTACAATAAAATTATTTAACTGGAAATGAAGAGCTCTCTCGCATAGAGGTTAAAGGTCGTAAATGGTAAAACATTCGAGGGATGAGTAGTTACGATTCGATCGCGTTATAGGTATAATTTCTACTAATTTCTCTTCGGATTGGAAAGAAAATTGGGAAACGGGACGATTACCAGCGCGGAATACGCAATTACGAGTAAATTCCGCGGTTGTTTCCCTGGATCAGAATATAAAGGCCGCGTAATTACGTGGACAAAATTACATCGTGTTTTATAATCAACGTAATCACAACGCGGCTGGCGCATACCGACCGATGAACAATTAACGTTCACGTATCGGACCGACCATTTTATCATATTAATCGTCCGGGCAGATTTCGTGAATCGTTTTCTATCCAGTATCATTTTCCAATCTCTCGTTTGTTTACTGCCGGCCGCGCCGCGACGGAAATCAAACGTGCACCTCCATCCGAAAGATAACGCCTCCTATTCTAGTTCTTAACTTTCTTCATACAACTTCTTCCATTTGTCGTTGTCGTCGTATCGCGTCAGCAAGTCACGCGGACGAAATTCCGCTGGAACGGTGATAAAAGAAACGACGGTGGACGCAGAACGGAGGCGAGGATGGAAGGGCGCAAAAAACTTTGATAAACCAGCAATTTTACGCCGCGAGCTCACCTGAATACTATTTTTTAGAAATATTGTTCACGCTGCATAAATCGATTGGAATACCATGAAGTCTCGCATTCTTTCCTAATTTTGCATGGTGATTGGGAAGGTGGGGGGATTCTGGTCTTCTCATCTTTATTACTTTCTAAAGAGGTTGATACACCTTACTTACACCATACTTCGTAACAGGAAGAGTTGTAGGATTCTTTTATTTTTAATCGCTGTATTATTCATCTATTTTAAAAATCGTAGGACACAATACGTACGAAACGAGGTTTTCGCGCGAGATAGACCGATAGTAGCGCGTGCGGGATAATTGGAGGATTCAGCAAAACGATCAGCAGTCAAACACATTATAACGCGGAATCGCGTCCCGTGAAAACGGCCACGTAAACTTACGTTCAGCCCGGTGGTGTGTCAGCCGTAGATTCACGTAATTAGCGTGCTCGCTGGTAATGAAGCCCCCCATTATGGGCCGGGCCGTCGGTTAATTAGGTTGCCCGTTGATTTATTGCGATCGTGAGGTGTCCGGATGATGGAGGCCGCGTGGTTGCATCCTACGCGTCGCTTCCTTCCATTGAAATATATGTATAGATGAAAACAACAAAAGGCTCGTTTGTCCGGTAATTGAAAGCGTTCCCTCGTTTTTGATTCTGCGTCGATGAATAAGGGGATAATAAGTTCCAGTCGTTCGCTACCGGGTGAACGCGTCGGCATTGATTGGGGGCGATACGTGTACGTGCAATTCCTCTCGATGACAATCGAATAAGATTCAGGAAAAAAAGCGTATCCTATAAATCAAGAGTCAAGGTAAAAGGGACACGCATGGTCGGAAAGAACCCCTGGCAAATTGGCCAGTCTACCAGGAGGAAACAGCGTTCCTGGACGTTGCTTCGAATTTACTTAGCCGCGCGTATAAATCACGCAGACCGCGAGTCCCTGTATATCACCGAAGCCTCTAAGCAAAGCGGTCGCGCGCGTTTACTCCCATATTTATCCGGACAAATTTATGGTGCTCATTTATTATGAAAATTGATATTTCGAACAAGAGAACAGTTCTGAATTCACGCGTACCGTCGCGTCGCGTCGATGCGAATAAAATCAATTTCCGGGCCTGTTGAGCGTCCGGTGGCGTGCGTCGATCGGAAGGATGCACGCGACCGCTTTTCCGATGCGCTTTTATAATAATTCAACGCCGCTCGCAGCCTTTGTTACGCGTTATCGACGAGCAATCATAGCTATAACGTGTTCCGTTGACGGACCTGTGCCACGAAATTCTCCGATTTGATTGAAAGATTTGTGCGTCGAAATTGCTGGATAGAAGAGCTACACGAACTAGAATTTTAAACAATGGTCCATCGCGGTACGTATGAAAAACGATTCTTTCGTGGCTTAAACTCGATGTTAAATTGAAATGCGTTCAGACCGTTTATCCTGTTCGACGAAGTACGCGTTCCAAACGAAACTGGGATTAGTTGGTCGGATTGTGAATTATTTTAACGACATGGCCCAGCCAGGCTCGCCTTCTATTGTAGGATTTCGCCGGTTAAGCGTTCTTTTTATCTGGT